GTATGATATCTTAAAGGCTAAAGATTAAATGTGACATTTATTCACATCTGCCCTCAGCCTATATATAGGCGTAGCAAGTCGAAAAAAACAAAATAAATAAAAATTTCAAAGTTATTGAGAAAGGCTTTTCCCGCAGATAATTCTATAAAGTTGTATACGGATATTTTGATCTCTAAATACACTCTTTTTCTTAGATTGAACGAGCATAAGACAGTCAGTAACACCTGCCAGCAGTATTCACATTTATTTCACATCATTAGCACAAATAAGAGAACACATTTAAAAAAAAAAAAAAAAAAAACAACAAATAATTGAAAACAATATTTCCGTTCAGGCCAAACCTAAGAGCAAAAAGTTAGAATAATATACAAACTTTGTTGATGCACACACTTTGTCTCTCTCTCTCTCTCTCTATCTCGCTCTTGCTATATTTTGGCAAATGTTCAAAATGGTGCGTCAGTCAGTCAGGCTGGCGAATCTATTAATGAATCTATAAGCAACTGGGTGAAATATGCACACAGGAACAAGAGAATATATATATATATAAATAAAAGCAAAGAAATTGTAAAATTGCAAAGCAACAGCTGATTGGCTGTGTCCTTTCTAGTCTTCTTCTTCTCGCATTTTATTTCTGTGTAAATTTGTTTGACAAGCGCTCAGGCATTAGGCAAAAAAAAAAAAAAAAAAGGAAAAAAAAATAAAATATGACAAAATCAATTTAGCAAGCCAAAGCTTAGCCGTTGTTGGTTTTATTGCTATTGACAACGTTGCCAAGTGCTGAGGCCAAATGGACACGGCCTGTTGACATCTGTCTGCAGCTTCATTTGCATATGATAGCGTGTGTGTGCGTGTGTGTGTGCGTGCGTGTGTGTGTATTGCTTAGCAAAATGTAAATGCAAGGCTGCAATTCAAATGAATTTCGCATGTAAAATGTGCCAAAGAGTGAAAATCAAAACAATCAAGTGAAACATTTGACAGAGGGCAAGCGAACCGAGTACACACACACACACACACACACAGTGAGAGAGACAAACCCACACACACACACTCGCACGCACACAGAATAGAAAGAAAGAAACGCAATGTTAAATGTCATAAATATAAAATCGAATTCAAATTGAAAGCAGATCGAGCATTAGATGTGAGTCGTGTATGTGTGTGTGTTTGAGTGTGTTTGTGTGTGTGAATGTATGTTTGGTTAGTATTTGCATTTAATTAGCAAAAAACCAATGCAGAGATTGGCATTGTTGATTTGGCCAAAATACACACACACACGCACACACCTACTCGCATTTGTTTGGCTATAACTGTTTGCAATTTTGCAATTACGCAAAACGTTTATAAATTATGCAATTGCCATGACCACGCCCACTTGAGCCCATCAACAATTTGTTTAATGAAGCTCAACACAAAACCACAAAATCAAATCAGCGGAAGTTGTTGCACAGTTGTTCAGTTGTTTGGTTGTTCAGTTGTTGTTTGGCCAACAATTTCTGAAAYATTCATGTAATTAACATTAAAATCATAATTCATAAATGTGACTAACGGAAATTCACAATTGTTTGATGCCAAATGCAAACGTTAAGCTGTCCAAAAAACACAAACACACACACACAAAATTATGCATAAATATCGAAATGCAATACTATTTGCGGTTAAATTGAGTGAAGAAGTGCAAGGAGTAGAGGGGCAGCAGGGTTGGGGGAAGCGTGGTATTGCTCTTTGTATAATTAGCTAAGCTAAGCGAATTCTCTATGAAGTGTCATCCAACTGTTGCCTGCAACAATTTGTGTTTGTTTATTCGAACAACTTTGTGTGTTGTTTGTGTATTTTGAAACTGATTTAGCAGTGTTTGCATTTTTAGGTTTTTTTTTTTTTTTTTTTGACTCAACGAGGATCAGTTGACAGCAATTGGAGCCGGAAAACGGGCAGCAAATGAGTTAGAGCTAAAGAATGTGGCCTAGATATTATTTAATGCATTATAAACTCTATTGAACTGCAGTTGCTGTAGGAAATTGTCTGTTAAGCAAAATCTTGGATAAACTAATGCAAAAAAATATATATATAAACCAAATCTTCTACTAGCATTGAGTGTAAATGATATTATACCATAATTACACCATTAAATCATTTTTATGCCAGATTAACTAACTTTGTGAATATATTCGAAGGAATATTTGAAGAAATTGCAGCAAGATCTGTCTACAGCAAGCCCAGTTCATTTCGGGATCTATGTATAACTGAGCTCAACATATTTCTGCTGAAATATTTCATAAATAAACATTAAAGGGCATGCCAAAGATTAAAAAGTAACGGTTCATTGGTATTTCCCTTGAGCGCTGATAAAACGGAATAATATATACGTAAATCCAAATGCACATGGCCGCACAGTTTGACAATCACTGGGAGTTATCTTAAGAGCAAAGCAATTACAACTGCATTTGCCGCCAGATAAGCAAATTCTGTTGGGTAACTGTATGTGAGTGTGTGAGTGAGTGAGTGTGTGTGTGTGTGTGTGTGTGTGTGCGCGCGTGTGTATAAGTGATTTGTGTGCTGAGTGTATTTTAGGCTGCTTATCTTTGTTGAGAATACACCCACACCAACACACACTCACACACACACACACACACACTGGCATATGCAAATAGCAATTGTGAGTGGAACATAAATAGAACTCGGTTCATAGAACTTATTGAAGGGAAGTCGTGCGCGCAGCTAAGCAAAGATTACAGCCGACTCTGATAAGTGGGGCTGGAGCTGGAACTGGGGCTGGGGCTGGGGCTGGGGCGGCGGCGAGACGAGAGAGCCACTGCGCTCCTAGGACCAGACAATTCACATGCATAATTGATATCGAAGCGAGAGATGAGACTGCCAGACTGTAGACAGAACGAATGGGATATACAGAGGATAGTATATGTGTATACATATATATAGCATTGCATAGGCAGCAGCCAATCAATTGGAAATGTTTTAATGGCCGCAATTGAGTTGCTGTTGTTGGGCAAAAACGTCAGACTAAGACGCTAATTAATCATAGAGACTGTGACAGAGCCGCAACAACAACAACAGCAACGACAACAACTGCGCCCAGGCAAAGTCAACTTAATTGATGGGCCAATGCCAATGCCTGCGAAATGGCCAAGAAAATCCACCACCGAACAGCAGCCTAAGCTTGGCCAGGACGCAAGCAACCGCAGGCACAATTACATGTGTGCCATGCCACCACAACAACAACAACTACAACTACAACTAGCTAGCTGACCCGCCCTTGGCAAGGGGATTGCGGGTTTCGTTTCGATTGCAGCCAAAATTTGCCGTGTGATTTGCATGAGTAATTTGACAGATTACCTCGCCTACTACACACAGAGATTGAGGACACATGCCACATGAAGTGGCAAGCGAACAATCAGACAAAAAAAAAAAAAAAATAAAAATACAAATTGCTGTATTGCAACCCTAGAAAATAGATTTAATGAGTTGGACAATTCCATGTAAAGCGAGCATTGATTAAGTGCAACTGAAAAGAATTGTTGAAATTAAAGATATGCTTGAACTATTTGATGTATATACATATGTATATAATATAATATATATCATTGAGTTGAAATTATGAAGAGAATATAAAATATATTTTATGTAAAAATGATTTTTTAATTTCAAGTTGCTGTTCTCTTTTAATATTGAAAATATTATTTAATTTGTATATATTATAAAATTATTCACATATTTAAATTATTTAAAAATAAAAAAAAC